TGCTGCATCCAAAATACACCACTGACTGCAGGGAAGGGAAGGGGGTCTGGGACCTATAACCCTCCAGGCCAGCAGCCTCCTATAGTCTTTGCTGGAGAGCCTGGCACTGTCACTGCTCCCTTGGCACTTGCCAATGGCAAAGCAAATGTCGCATCTCCAGGGGCGGGAGGGCTGGGGAGGGCTGTGCGTGTGCATAGGCACTGGCCTTCTCCGCGTGGTCTTGTGCTGCCAACTAGGTGGAGAGGGGATTTTTAGCAAGCCTGCCCCAAGCGCTCTCCATGCCTTTCCCCCCTGGCCCGCCCAGGCGCAGGAAGAAAGCTCACAGGCGTTGGTAGGGCAGCACCCTTGCGGTCTGGGTAGCAGCCCCAGGTGCCAGGAAAAGCAGCAATACCTTGGCAACACGCCTCCGCTCTTCCTGCTTTCGCCTGCCAGGCAGCCCAGGGGAACCAGCCGGGCAGCTGCATGTTAGTGCAGCCTTGGGGGCTGCTCCGACTTGCCCCGAATGGGCCCCCAGCCACCCCAGCCCAGGCCTGGGAGGCACACCTTTGCTCCCAGATTGCCCCAGCCAAGGCACCTAGGTCCTGCTGCAATGCAGGGGTGAGTTTGACCCGGGGTGTCCAGAGCTGCACCCTCTTCCACCCAGCCCGTGTTCAGCCGCACCAAATGGCTTCTAGCTGCTCTCGGGGCAGCGCAGAGGCTGGCAGGAGTCCCCCATGCTGCAAATAAGCTCCCACGTGAACCCACGCTGGTCAGGGTACCAGGACTGCGCATGCTCTCCTCGGCCCAGCAGCCAAAAGGGAGTTTCCTCAGCCCTGGGACGCTCCCAAGAGCTTTCTGGGAAAGACAAACACCCAGCTGGGTTGTGCAACAGCTCCGTGGTGCCCCCGGGACCCGTCCCCAGGGCCCAAGCGAACTACTAGGAAATACTTATCTGGAAACTCAGGGCCCCTACGAGCTCTACATGGCAGCTGATGCCTGCGCGTTTCACGTGAATGAGGCACTGCAAGGAGCAGCACCTGCCGCCCCCCTGCCATCGGGCACAACCACCTCCTCCAGCACGCAGAGGCGTGCCCCCTCCGCACTGCTGACGTGGCAGGATGGGCAGCAGATAAGCACGTGGCTGCCATGTGTCAGGCACCGACGCCAACGTGCCACCACCTTGGAAAGTGAGCAGACAGCATTGCATTGTGCTGGAAGCTGGCACCTCTCCTGCCTGGCGTGGCAAGGGATCATTTGCTCCTGACTCGCTGGGCTGGTCTCAGGAAGGGCCATGCTGACTTGGCTTTGCAGCCGGTTGCGCAGGTCGATTGTTTCAGGCCAAACCAAAGTGGCAGCTCCAGCAAAGCCGAGGTCCCGGGCTGAACAGCGGCTGCCCCAGGGCTCCCATCCCCAGGAGCTGGCTTCCCCCACCCCTCCATGTGCATCAGCACAGGCTCTGTGCGTCCCCGTCCTCCTCTGGTGCCAACCCAGCCTCTGCTTTCTGGTGGCAGGGACCCACCATGGGCGCATCAGAGGACTCTGCCCATGACCTCCCCATTGCACCCGTGCATGCCGTCCTGCCCCTCGCCCGGTCGGATGGGCTCACGCTTGGCAACGCGCGCGGCCCGCGATGATTTATGTGGCACTCATGCAATTGATGTGCTGTGCGCCTGGGGACAGTTCAATGGGAGCTCTGTCATTAGTTTAAGCAGAGGTTAAAGGTGATCAATAACAAGGGTTTCATGCCCAATTGATCATCCCGCGCTATTTATTTCTGGCTTTTGCTTTCCATCCCGTGGTGCTTTTAGAAATAGTAATTAAAGACGTAGCAAGGGTTCTGCTAAGCGGAATATCAAATACTCCAGGTATCGATCCCAGCGCCTCTCTCTCGATGGCTCTGAACCCCGCCTACCACCTGCCGTCTGCCACCCAACCCTGGCAAGGCCCAGGCTCCCACCTGTCCCCACATCGTTCCTCCTCCCCCAGGCAGAGCAGGGTCCTCCAGGAGAAGCCACGGTTCCTCCTGCTCCCCTTGCCCCTGCAGAAAGGCGCGTGGCTGGCTCTGGCTTTACCAGCAAGACCAGTTTAAAGCAGGTCTGTGCACTGGCTTGGAGGCAGCTGCGCTGGGCACGGAGGGGAGCCCGAGGACCTGGCCCAGGCATGCCACGAGCAATTAACACCCTGCGAGAGCGGCTGGGAGGCAGCAGCTGTTGGTGATGGCCAGCAAAAGCTCTCCCGTGTCCTGCTGAGGAGGAAGTGGATCCAAGCCTCATGACAAATGTGCTCCAGAAACAATTTCTCGGTGCTCTGTTTGTGCCATCTCCACCGGGAGGAAAGCTGTGCATGGTGGCAGCCGGCACCCTGTAGGGTGGATGGCAGCACCGTGCACCGATGGGCTCGCAGGCTGGGACGCAGCGCAGACAAGCAGAGTCTGGGGGTAGCCAAAATGCCGTGCTTCCAGCCTGGGGAGGGGGAGCACGGTCCTTCCTCCTGCCACTGCCACAGGCCTGTAGCAGCCTTGGTCCGGGGAGCTGCAGGTGCTGCTCACGATGGGTGAAGTGGTTTGGAGAGACAAGCTTGCATGCTGCGCTGCAGAGTGAACGGAGCGATCTCGGGAAGACAAAGAGCGGCCGAGGAAGCGCAGCCTCTTGCTGTGCTGCCCCTTTCGTGGGCGGCTGGGAGCAGGGAGTCGTCGTCCCGCTTGCCCATGCTAAGGACCCTCGGTGCCGTGGCCCGTTCCCAGGAGAGGCCGCCTCTGTGCCGAGCCACGGGGACTGGGCGTGACGACGTGACCGAGGCCCCTGCAGGAGCGCAGGCCTGGAGGCTATGGGATGACTCGTGGGGGCTGCTCCTGTCACTACGCGGACGTCACACCTCGCCCAGGGATGCCTCTATCTGTGCAGGATGCTCCCTCCGCAGCAGCGTGTAGTCATCCCAGTGCCCGAGACACGCTGGCCTTTGGGTCAGGCCCTGAAAAGGACTGCTTTATTGACCGCTGTGGGCTTTGCACGTCTGCATGGGAGCGGCTCCGTTCAGCAATGCGAGGTCCGGTTTCGGCCGTTTGCAGCAGGCAGGCAGGGGACCGGGCAAGCAGCCCAGCAAGAAGGGCCCACAGAGGACCTCCTCCGGCAGAGGCAAGGGGGAGGCTACCAGGAGGCCAAGGCACGCGGAGCGCGTGCCAGCTGCACTGTACCGTGGAGGACAGGTGGGGACAGGTGGCTGGTGCCAACTGCGGAGACATGCCCGTTCTTCTCGGAAGGGAAACCCAGCCAGCCGGGTTCTCTGAAGCCACCGGCGATGCAAGGGAACGAATGCCAGAGAGATGCGATGCACTCGGGCGCCAGCTGGCACCAGGCCACACCTCTGGCATGATGCTCTGGAGCCCCGACGGGCGTCCTGGCACTCTGGTGAGGGGCCTGGCACGAAAGCCGAGCTGGGCTCCCCATCCCTTGTTCTCCGTGAACGAGTACCCTGCTTTTCCACGCTGCAATTCATGCTCCTGCTGACGTGCTTGAAGAGCCCACCTTGTGCTTTTTTATTTCTCCTTGGGTTGGCACGAGAGACCTCCCACCCTGGCAAACTGATTAAAAAGCGTATTGATTTTTCAGTGACAAATACAAAGCCCAGTGGAGGCAGCGCAGCCTTCGGGTCAGTCTGAGGGTCGGAACGACTGATGCTAGGAACAAGGCAGGCACGCGGCCCCAGCCACAGCTCCTCTGAATGCTTTGCCCCAGTTGTAAAAATAACATGGAGCAGAGTTTGTGAAAGGCTCCGCTCTTCCTGGGCCCTGGACCGAGGAGGGGTCTTGCCCACCTCAAAGTCATGTGTCCCTTTGGGTGGGTGAGAAGTGACCAGTGGGTGCCGGAGATGAGGGAACGAGGAACGATAACCAGGCCGAACATCCTTGGAAACAATACGAAATAACTGAAACACTGCCAGCCACTGCCCCGGGCTCTGGTTCGAGCCCCTAGCCCCTAGTACGGGTCGTGGTCCCATTGAGACGCATCCAAATCAGCTGCCATCTACTCGCACAATTTTGTACACTCGCTCATTCACATATTTCCAACCCTCTCTGTATTATCAGGCAGTTCCCGTCCCCGAGGCAGGGAGCCGGGCCACTAAGATGAGTCTCTCACTCAAATTTACAAGGAAGGACAGTCTGGGAAAACGATAAAAGGCAATGGTGCTCTTCGGCCGTCGCACGCTTTGCTTGTTGTCCGTTCAACTGCAGAGCAGCTACAGTGTGAGGACTAAAACAGCAAGAGGAAGAAAAATATGGTTAAGAGCTGGCAGGAGTGAACATGTGAAATCAATGAGGAATACGTGAATCCCTTCAAGGCAGGTGAACTAGGTGCTGGAGATGCCTAGGGAGAAAACATTACAGAAGTTTGAGAAATGGAGCCCTCTCCCAGGCCGGAGCATGCTCCCCCCATGCCCGCTGCGCACACATCATTAAGAAACGCCTTCGTCGCCCCGCATGCGAGAAACAGCACTGATTTTGACTCGCACCAAAAATAATGTGATATCAAGCGGCATGAAATATTCATGAGGTCTGATTTAACACGAGCATTATTTCTTGTGTACAGTATCATATGCTTTAATGCTGCCTTTGCAAGCCCATAATTCCCAGACCTGGCATGATTAGTTACACAGAGAAGCCTGGTCTTATTAGTTCTAATTGAAACTAGTGGGAACTTTCACAGGTAGTTTTACATGAATCACAAAGGAAAACATCTGATTAGCTGCAGTCGGCTGTATTTATATTTGTGTGCGAGAGGGAGAGCGCCTGTGTGTACACGCACATCTGCGCACACCAATAAATATCAGAGGTAGGCCCGAGACAGGCTGAGCAGAGATCCGTCGTCCAACCTCTCCAGGCTGAATGGGAGCGTGGGATCGCTCTCTCTCCGACTCGAGCTGGTGAACCGGGGCCTATTTAAGTCTGAAGCCATCGGTGGGAGGACGCGTTGGAGCAAGGGGGCGCGGACGTCCCAGGAGCAGACCGACAGACGACAGCAATGTCAGACGCGCGGCGTTGTCCGGGGACAGGGTTTTCGGTCCGTGTCTCGGACTCGTCTCCAGGAGTTCCCGGTTGAGGAGTCGGAGCCGAGCGGCTCGCCTGCCTTCTCTTCCCCTGCAAGGACCGATAGAGGGCACTCAGCCTACACGGTACCGGCAGGGCAGCAGCCACCGGAGCAGGAGCGCACGTGCGAGCACCACAGCCGGACACGGTCCTCCCAGTCCACGCAGCAAACTCGGAGCAGTGCGGGGGGGTTGCTGTGTGCTGGGACGACTGCGTGCTCGCTTCTGAGCGCACCGATGTCCAGGGAGCGGGAGGCAGATAGGGCGATTACCGAGGCCTGATCCCTGCGCATGTCTAGCACGCCCCGGCTGCGTGGCCTGCAGTAGCTCGCCCCAAACAACACGAGTTTGGCTACTGACCTCACTGGCAGCTGGGTTAAGGCTGCAGAGTTTACCCTGGGGAGGAAAAGACAGACAGGTCTACGAGGGCATCCACTCCCCAGCCTGCTAACCAGGAGTGGAAGCGTACTTGAAGCAACGTAGCCCAAGACTGCTCTCGCCGAGTTTGCGGGAAGCGGGAACCGGCCCCACGAGGACCTAGCCTTCGTGCCGTGAAAGTTTTATGCCAGGGCCCAGGTCGCGTGAGAAGGGATTAGGTTGCTTGTTCTGGCAGGATCGGGCCCCAGCAGCAAGCCATGGGTAGGCTGGATTCTGTTGACGACACAAGTTAGGTTAATAGGGCATCACTAATGAGCAGCAACTGCGCCGAGCAAGGCAAACTGCCCCGTGCTGCCAAGCTCGCCGGTGCCCTCCTGGGCTCCGCGCTGGAGAGGGGGCAGAGGAAGGGCAAGAAAGGGACGCGGCTGCCGGGCTCCCACGCTACCCCGGATTTAGCAAGAGGGAAAACGAGACCGTGCCCTGCTGAAGGTCCCTCGCACAAAGAGGACAGTGACGCTGTCTCCCCAAAATTGCCTGTAAAGACATTTAAGAAGGTGGCGGTGTTTGGAAAACAAGGAGATGGGGGGGAGTTGGAGGCAGTAATGTCACCTCGGGAGCGAAGGCAAAGTGCCCTCCGTGCAGCTGGCAGCAGGGACAATGTCACCCAGCTCAGATGCCCTACCAGGACAAGCGGCAGCGCAGCCCTGTGGCTGCAACCCCGAACTCTGGCCCAGCAGCCGACTGCCCCGTCCTGCACCCAGCCGCGCTTTCCCTGATCAAAGCCCCGGTCCTCCAGCGTCCTCCCACTCAGACCACGCACGAGAGCCGGACTTGGCCTCGACTCCCCTGAAACCGAGTCGCTCTGAAGGGAGGATTGTTTCCTGAGCGGCACGAGGTATTTCCTGACGATGAAGGTTTGCATTCATCAAACGCCAGAATGGAGGTGTAGCAAAATACAACAGGAGGCCGGCCGGGCACATCCACGTCCCCCGAAACCCGCTGGTCCGGGGCAGCGTTTGCAAAGTGGCGTCAACCTCGGCCTCTCATACCACCTTTTCACTGGCACAGTGCCGGTTTCTCTCCCCACATTAGGCCCAGTCTTTTGAACGTATTTCCCTCCTTTAAAATTGTACCGCTTGTGCATTCACTAAGTAATAAGCATTTACACTTTTGTATGGTCTCTGAGCTACCAAAACTACCTTTGCGCTTTTACGCGCTTTGTGCCTTGTGTATCCAGCTACGGAGCCCTGGTAACACTTTTCATTTAGCTTAAGAAACGAAGGGGAAAAAAAACAAAACACAAAAACCCCAGCCCACCCTAATTGCTGTTTATGCCATGACTAAGAACTGGAACAGTTCTACTAAATGAGGCAAACCTTCGGGTATTTGATTTTTAAAAGGGCTGAACATTGTGGCACTGCACAAATGAAGTGTGTTTTATTTTTGCTGCTCAATAGCATGAGGGAGCTAATGCACAAAGGCTGCAAGTGCCTTATATATTCTGACAAACCAAACAACCCAAGGGTGTTCAACCTCCGTGGAACTCACTTCATATCTCATCCATTATGGGAATGAAATGTGAAAACTGACCCCTCTTTTTCAAATATCAATACAGCACTGTTTGCAATACAAACTACTTAAAAGGAGAGAGACTTTCTCTATCTCAATAGCTCCCGGTGCGCACAGGCAAGAGCTTAAATTCTGTACTTCGTCTCATACAAACTGCGACTAGGGGTTTCTCTCTTATTTCATTCTTTTTTTCCCCTGCTGTTTCATTTCTTTTTTTTTTTTTTTTAAAGCACAGGGAACGTCAAAGAATTTCTTCTAATGGCTTTAGAGGGTTTCAACAGCATCAACAGATAAATGCCAGGATGGGTGAATGAAACAGAGGCAAAAAAAAAAAAATGAAGACAGAGATAAAGAAGATTCTGAAAACTGGAAATGTTGCCCTAGTTTCATGATGTTGCTTGGATGATACCCTGATGTTCGTGTATTTATAAATCACTGTTAAATTATTCCCGATGAATATACTGTTGTTATCAAATGCTCAGGAAATTCTACGTTAGAAATATTCTGGAGGCAGACAAACCGTGTGGGGAGGGAGGGCCAACATCCAACACCATCCTTCAAACGCCACGCTACAATTTGCACAATTCCCTGCGTTTTGCACAATTGCCACCTAAGCCAAAAGAAACTCAAGTTGAGCAAGTAATGAAAGCTGACAAAATGCACACCGCTTTATTAATACTGTGCCTCGAAACCTTTAAATCACATTTTATTTTATGCTACAAAAAGTTATTAGTGCATTCATCTGCAGGGTTTGCCAGCTTCAGTGCTGCACAGTGAACCCATTAGCTAGTCCGTTAATTTATGGGTATCAAACATAGTATTTAGCATGACAAACCTTCGCGTGATAACTGATCGCCAGAGTGACGCTGGGGGGTTGTTGTTTGGCTTTTTTATTAAAAAAAAATAAATTCAAAGAAACAGCTAATGAGCGTTTGGCATCTGAAACAATATCCTTTGTATTAACTGATATACAAGAACTACATTTTTTTTAAATGACACAGAGAAAATATGATAATTAATTTATAGTAACATGGCTGATTGTGACAGTTGCCTGAACAATAACGCATTTGCAAACAAACACCGAAGGCACAAAAATACAATAAAAAACAAACTGTGGAAAACAGAAGACTGGTCCGGTTGGGTGTAAACCGTGTCCCTCGTATGTAAAAAAATTAAGAAAAAAAATAAAATAAAAATAAAAGTAAGAATAAATCTGCGAGCGGACATGCCATGCGCCTGATCGTCAACAAAAAAATTCCCTTTTCACCTGCAGTTTCACAGAGCGTGAAGTTTGTCCAGAGTCAAGGAGCAATATTTGCAATCAGTCAAATGCCACAGACGGGAGAGAAATTCTCTAGCAAACCCCAAAGCAAGCATCTGATGGTTTTTTACCTCTACCAGGCCATTCAACGTTCCTCCAGCGCGAGACTTTCCACATAGGCACATGCTTCCAAAAGTTCTCTCCACATACAAATATTGCTGGAATCAAGAGATCCGAGAAGGTAAAAAGAATCCACTTACGTGACTATTCCTGCCCATTTGGAAAGCAAATGGATTTTTCAAGGGGGGGGAGAGAAGAAAAAAAGAAAAAAAAAGGAGAGAGAGAGAGAAGTTGATACTTTTGCACACCCAGAATGAAATCACGTCAGTATTTCGGCCTCGTCCTGACACAACCGCAAGAAACCTTAGCGCGAGGGTCCAAAACACACCGCTCCCAGCCAATCTTCCTGCATCCTACGTGGCATCTCATTCACTTGCCATCCCGCGCCCGGAGACCGCTCTTTGCGCGCCCACGAAAACAAAAAACGGAGGACAAACTTTTCCTGCTGCGATTCTCCTGCTGCCGGCGAGGCGAGGCGAGGCGAGGCGAGGCGAGGCGAGGCGCGGCGCGCGTTCGCGGAGGGACAGACCGACCCGAGGGGCCCCCCGAAAAGAAACCCGCGCGGCGCGGCGCGGCGCGGCGGCGC